TGGTCCTTTATTATTTACTGCGTTTTATTTCAAAATACCTGAGAATCTAATTATTTTACTTTGTTAACAATTAGGCTATAAGTTATATTATGCACAGTGCATGAAATAAAACAAAGAAGCATGGCAATTCGATATAATAAAAATAATTATATATATTACAATCTTCAAAATGAAAAACTAAACATGTTCTTAGTTTGATTAATAGTTTGGAAAATTTGAATTCCTTCCATTTTCTGCTGGGTTTAAAGCTAGTGACTGAAAAAAAAAGCACTGAATCAAAGTCTAAATTCTCAGGTCAACTCAAACAGTGTGGGTTGTTATCCTATTCCAGCATAACCAGTGGCTCCCTTCTAAAGATTTTGAGGGGCAACCTTGCTTATAGCACCTAAGATTCATGAAATAATCATATCTATTTATATCAGTTAAACTGCTGGACTGCTTTCTTGCTAAAATAATATTTAAACATCAAATCTTAATTAGGCGCAGGAAGACAGGTGATTTGTTTTGTCTATAAGCTAAACAAGCTGAGTGGTTTAACACCTTTTTTTTTTTAAAGCTCTTCGAGCAAAAGGAGAAATTATATGTTGGCACAATTCTATTATCAATTTTATTAGAAAGTTATATTTCAAGTTCGTCATCGTATTTTAATTAGACTGATACGAGTTATAGAGGTTGAAGCTGCTAGCGTTAGCTTGCAGCTTGTCTTAGCTATGACAATGTCATTGCTAGCTGTAATAAGTTTAGACAAGAACTGAGATAAAAATAAACGCAATTCTTGGTCTACGACACGGAACACTAAACAGACTTTAATATGATATAATCAGAACACCTAAAAAGTCTAAGTTTTTATCTATATGAAGACACAAAACCGTTAGCTCGTGCATCGTTTAAGAATAATAGCATAGAATGCTAACCAAAGGTGATGTGCTAATTTAGCATCAAAGGCTTTCCGTAAAGTGTCAAAATAACACATGTTGTTACAGTAATATCATTCTAGACAACGACAACCTTTATACACATGAAATGATGTTTAATGTAAATATCCAGGGTGGTTACTTACAGCTGTTCCGCACTGCTGTTCTTAGCTATGCTAACAGCTGACAGACTACAACACAGCGTCACGATTCGTCATGTGACAGTCACTCATTCAGTCACATGCACCTCAGTCTACCCCACACTTTGTATGTAATGTTACAGATTGTTTAGTATTTTTTTCTGTATAGGTTATACTCTTACAAAATGTTTCACTTTATGATTTGAAATGTGTAACATATTGCAAATGGATTTATCTAAACATAGGATGAACAAAAACACAATATTTCCTGCCAAAAATTGTTTTTACAACCTTAATTTTCTAAAAATCATTCGTTTTTAAAATTTACATGATTGGAATATCAAGAAAAATGATCTTTTTGACCATTTCTGTTGGCAAAACTTCAGCAGATTGTCAAGAGTGATAACTTTCAAAACTGTCAATCAATCTACACTGGTTTTCTATCTGATGTAGGTTTGGCAGCCAGGTTGTCAAGAGAGAAAGTTTATTCTGTCTAGGGTAAACTGCATGGGATGAAGCTCAAATAAGTTTCTGCCCATAAAAAATTATTCTTCTTTTATTTTGGTGGTATTTTGGGGATCATCACAAAATGGCAATAATTTTTTTAGCAGCTAGGATTAAGTTTAAAATGCGATGTTATTTTACAAAATGAATGATATTTTGCACTGTATCTACGTTGCCAGGGAGTTGAGACAAGGAAAAGGTCCACAACATCAGATATTCTCCAGCATACCTGTAGCATGAGCTCCTAAATTTGATTAGGGATGTCCCAATCTGACACCTGGTATCCGTCCAAAGTTAGGTAAAAAACTAATATTTGATTGTATCAACCTGCAACTAAAATCTTCGATACTAACATACGGATAAAATCATGCTTTTGTCTAAAGTATATGTAACCCTTTGGTTTATACTAAACAGTTCAGCTTTTCTCTTTATGACTGTTGTTGATTATAGTTCTAGTAATATCACTTAATTAGACCTTTTCTAACATTCCATGCAACAAAATAAGTATTAAAAGCATGTTTGATTCATGCTGATATTGTATCGGGTCAAAATTGGTATTGGAAATGAAAAAGTTGTATGAAGACATCCTTATTTTAGATGTTTCACACATAAACAACCTGAAATTCTTAATATTGCTTTAAAAACGTTTAATCTTAGTCTTACATGAGTAAATATACATGTCAGGCTCAAATACCACTAGAATTTAACAAACGTGTCTTTCCTAAATGATCAGAACTTTAAGTTTCAACATTCATTACATTTCAGATTTAAGCAACATGCCACATCCCACATTTCAGTACATTAAAGAGCTATTTGATAATATTAAAATCAGAAACAAAACCACCTAAAAGGAAAAAGAAGTTAGTTATATTTGAGAAGTTTAAGAAGAAAATTAAATGCACACATTGGAACATTCTCTAACAGTGAAAAAATATATATTTACCCTCCATCCATCCCTTTTCTTCTGCTTTTCCGGGGCTGGGCCGTGGAGGCAGCAGTCTAAAGAAAGATGCCCAGACTTCCTGATCCACACACACTTCCCCCAGCTGGGGTGACCCAGAGCAGCTAATGTCTCTGAGCTGGACACAAAGACAGCTCAGAGACATAGTCCCTCCAGCATGTCCTGGGCCTTCCACGAGGCCTCCTCCCAATGGGACATGCCTGAAACACCTCCCAAGGGGGCATGTCGAGGTTGATATCCTGAGGTTCCCATATATTTACCCTGAAATCGGAAAATCAGTTATTGTAGTACGTTACTTCAAACAATGTTTTAAACCTGTTAAACTCTTTTAGGTTTGTTTTCTGTTACATCTACAAACTTCAAAGCATTGTACAGGGAATAATGTGACAGATTAAAGTAGCATAAACCTATAAAGTGCAAGGAAGATTAAGTATTGTTTATCTTTTTAAGAAGTTGCTGAGATTTGTGGTTCAGGCGACAAAATATGTTGAAAGAACCATTGGCCATGATAAGTTCTGTCCAGTTACGGCAGTGGGGAAGTGCAGTTACTGTAGCAAATGGACCTGAAATTCTTATATGCCACTACTGTAGGAGCTATACGGTTGCACACAATCCTTTGCATGATAGGATGTTTAGGCACATGCAAAGGATTTTAGGCAACCTTATACCTCGTAAGGGGAGGAAAGGACTGTCAGGAAGTCCTTATGCGAAATAAACTATCAATAATAAACGTCCTGCTTCCTCTTCCTACCTCCACCCTTACTGCTAGCCCCATTTGGCTAGCACCTATTTTGGTAACCGCTCATGCACTTTTGCTTTGGCTTAAGTTTCTATATCAATTTGCCTGATTTACATGGATGGTAAGTTTAAAATCTGCCACAGCTTGCATGCCATCCCTCTTTTCCCTGCTAATCCCTCACAGGCAGAAACTGTCACACAGCTAGGAGTCTGGCAACCACATTCTGCCCTCTGTATATGAGTCAAGCAGATAGCAGTTATTGCAATGATGAACGTCATGGGAAGTTACAGTGCACTCCACACTTATTGGCACCCCTGTTTATGATGTGGTCGAGGACTTCTAAAACATTGTCTTTTTTTTTAAACAACACAGAACCCAAAGGAAAAAAGAAGAAAAATCCAACCTTTTATTTAAGTACATTACTTTGGTGGTAATAATAAAATCACATGTTTAGAAAATAAAGTGAAATCATGTGTCCCACAATTATTGGTATCACAGATGTTAATACTTTGTGCAACCCCATTTTGCCAACAAAACAGCACTTAATCTCCTCTTATAACGGTTCACAACAATGGAGAACTCAGAGAGAGAGATCTTTGACCATTCTTCTTTCCACAATCTTTCTCTCTTATGCACTCTCCTATTTAGCTGGGCTAAATAGGAGAGTGCATAATTGGTTTGAAATCTGGGGAATGAGATGCCATGGGAGGACAATGAGTTTGTGACTGCTGAACCATTTTTGTGTAGATTCTGCGACATGTTTTGGATAATTTTCCTGCTGAAAGACCCAATGACGACCCATCATTAGCTTTCTGGCAGAGGTCATCAGGTTTGTATTTAAAATGTCCTGGTATTTCAAAGCGTTCATAATGCTATCCACCCTAACAACGTTCTCAGGGCCTTTGTGAAAGAAATAGACCCAAAGCATCACAGATCCTACACCATACTTCACAGTCGGCATGAGGTGCTTTGCGGCATACTCATTTTTTGTTTTACGCCAGAACAACTAAGAGTATTTGTTGCCAAAAAGCTCAATCGTAGTCTCATCTGACCCAAGCACACGATTCCAGTTGAAGTCTCCATTCCACCTAAGTAAACTGCAGACGTTTATGTTTATGAGTGTTAATGAGAAAATACTTTTTCCTTGCATTTGGGTTCTCTGTTGTTTTTTAAAAAAGAGGATTTTTTAAAAGTCCTCAACCACATCTCAAACAGGGGTGCAAATAATTGTACAGGACACTGTACATTAACGCATTGCTTGTGGCAAAGCATAAATGTACAGTATAAAGACCTACTTCTAATGGTTTTCTGCTAAATGTGCAAATCCGCTAGAGAAAAATACACCAAACCTTGAAGCTGTGAATGTAACACCAGGTTTGTCAAAGGAATATTGATTCAGAGAAGTAGAGCAAAAATGCAGTTTTTGTGTAATGTTGCCAATGGTCATGGTGAACATTTCACTTTTCCCTACAAAGGGGGTATCTGTAGGAATTACAAGACATCACTTATCTGCACATCATAGTCATTTATTTTGAGAATGTCTAAAAACAATCCTCAATTAATATTACATAAATCAATAGCATAAACGATCAGAAATTATTCTGTGTCTGTCACTAGTCTTCCTCTCTGTCCATCTAGCTCAGACTTTAAGACCTCCAAGCTTAATCTGGCCTAAGCTGGTGAGACGCAGAAAAGCACAGAGGAATCAGGATCGTATCCAGTGGGAACATTTCCCTAATCCCCATCTGCCCTCTCCTTTGTAAACACTCTTCGCTGCCTCTGGGTAACTGATTCTTTCTACCACCATTTTGTCTCTGGTTACGATGGGTTTCATGTTAGACTTTAGAAGAGCATGGAAAATATGACCAGGAAGTGTGGATTTCCTATGATTTCAAGCAGACCTGGGTCTCACACTGTGCGCGAGGCCTCAAAGTCCAGGCATGCCATGTGGTAGGGTGGTGAGGCAGTGGGAGATCAGGCCCACTATCGTGCTGCGTGGGATCAAACGCACCAAGGTCCTGATGTGGCACTGGATTCAGGGATTTGCCCGGGCCTGCAGGCAGAACATTGGCTACCAGGTGAACTACAGTGGCCCAGACCAAGAAGAACAGGAGATGGTATGCCTTGAGGTAGGATCATGTTGTCATATTCCCAATAAGCATCCTAATTTTTGTCATTTACCCTTTGCTAAATTTGCATTCAAAACATTTTTAGCTATTTTTAAAAAAATAGCTGACAATTGTATTCATCAGAGAACTCAATCCAAACTTAATTTAATTCAATCCATAGCCGCCCTATATATCATGACAACACTGATAAGTCTTCTGTCAGACAACAACTTGGTTTTGATTTTCAAGATAAGTGAAGGAAACATAACCATATTATCTATTTAGCATCCTTGTCATCTCAGAGCCCCCACCCCTCAAAGATTTATTTAGCTTTTGATAGACTGCTCTTGTGTGGGGCTTATTGAATCTTTTTGCTTCTCACAAAATCTTTATTTAGAGAAGCACTTGCGATCTAAACAAAGCCTAAAAAGAGGATTAAAAGTAGAAGATAGCATGACCTGAAATAGTGCGAGTCGAGTGGCTTGAATTCTAAAAAATAAACAAATAAAATTAAGCCATACAACAATTTATAAATAAATAGCACAAAGTTAATTAGAAACAGCTAATTAAGCACTTTAAGTTAACAAAAAGGGTGGAGTTTTAAAAGTAGATATCGTCGTATCTGATAATTAAAGATTTACCGCAGGTCTCCAGGGTGAGGAGACCTATGTAGCTTTTCCTGGAAAGGAAGGGATTGTAGAGTCATGAGGACGTAGGAGCTCCATCAGAATCTGTTTTGGAGGTTACAAAAGACAGAACACAGTCCAGGTTCATTAACATTCATTAGTCTAATTTAATTGATATTTTGAAATTGATATGAGATATACCACAGTCAGATCAGACCCATTCAGAACCTAATATTCAAGCTGTTTGAAAGGACCCATTACTCTTTCTATGTTAGATATGGTTAGAAAAGCTAGTTCTGTTTGGCAAATTCCAGAAAATATGATATCTATATATATATACTCAGAAATGTAAATGCAGAGTTTCACATGCTTTTGCTTGGTTTTTGCCTTTTAAACTGACTGGGTTGGAAAAGATGTTTTGGGTTTCCTTTATGCAAACACACTTATATAAAGCTTCCTGGCTGATGTTTTGATCTCTTGCAGCACATGTTCTTGCTTCATGAAATTAATATACTCTGGAAAGTGAAGGAACACTGTTGGAGTAAAGCATAAGGTAGTGCAACTGGGAACGTGTACTTCAAAGATGGGATGTTGTCCTCTCACCCGTAATTCGCCATGTTCCTTAAAATGTAATTATGCTCATGTTGGCTAAGCTGTTCAACTTTACTTTAATAGGACCTCCTGACATGTTTACAAAAATAAATGTCTTTGTCCCTGATTACATTCAAACTTTAATTGTGTTACCATGATGGCAAAGGACTTACTGTATTTCATTGTTGATGATCACACTGCCTACCTAAACTTAGTCAACCTCTCAACAAGATAGTTTGCCTTTTCTGGTTCTAGGTTTGGTGTTCACATTTCACACCAAATCAGGTTCATCTCTGGCCACAGAACATGTATCCTCACTTTAAACTATGATAGCTAGACATTCCTTTACTGTAAGTGCTTGCACACTGCAGAAATGATCTTAAAGTGAGTAAGATAAATCTTAAAATTAGTGTATTTCCCCTTGATTTGAGTGGGTACATTAGATAATCTGCTAATGGAATGAGTATTTTTAGCCTGAAAATGAGATAATTAGATATGATGCACTTGAAATAAGAGATTGCAGATGTTTTTTTTATTTTTATTTTAAATGTAAAGTGTCACACTTGCCGACTTAATTCAATAAAAAATTCACTTACTTTAACTTACAAGATTTACATTTTTTGTAGTATAAATATTTGAATGAAAATCTGGCATTTTCATTAATCCAGATAGTGTGTCCAGTCTTTTTAAAGTCCACGGTTGTCTTCGTAATATTTTGGCATTTTTTAATTTATTTATTTATTTATTTTTCCTGACATCACACAAGGAAGCAGTGTGTTTTATTTGCTGCCTTAAAATACGTCCACATTTGAGCCAAAATGAACACAAAATGAACTAACTTATCAGAAGTTTACTAAGTTGAACTATACCTCAATTCACCAGGCCCCTCTATTCATACTGTTCCTTATATAACCTTACCATGTCTTCACAAAAACAATGTTTTTATGAGAACGTTATGTACCTTAACAGATTGGGATGTTTGAATTTTATAATGAAATTCTTAGCTCTTAATCAGTAACGACTCTTATCACAGCAGCGTGTAATAGAAGCAGAGGCACAAGTGCCAATAATAATAACTCTAACCGATGCTCTTCACTTCCTCACAGGTGTTTCCACTTGTTCTGTTTGATTAAAGCTCCATTCAAACTGATTTTAAGAGCCATTTTGCATCCGAGTCTATGAACAATCCCACTGACTGTTTTGTTGGTTTTCCCATTCAACAAATTTAATTTAACCTTATTTTTTAAGTAGATCGAACAAATATCTTGTCTTTTAAATAGAGCATAGACTAAATGAAGTAGATAAAATATTTGATTTAATTTGCTCCAAATGTATTGCCTCTCTATTCACACTGAGAATTGTTCACGTTGAATATTTTTATAATGTATGTCACAGATAACATATTAAGCCATGAAATCGGTTCATGGTTGTTTAATGTCTTTTTTTTGACTGACATTTTCCAATCTGAATATATCCTTTCAAAGAACAATGCAAGATCAATCCTGGGAAGGATAAAGGATACCTGCAAAGCATTTACTTTTCAGATTCTCCTTAGAACGGTGGTCAGAAGGGCCATTTTTCCTTACCGTCATCCTCTTGGCACTGATGGCTGGATTTGGCACCTTTCTCTCATCTGCTTAGCTCCGCCCAGCACTCATTATCGCTCATCAGATCCACCTGTTCCTGCATTGTATAGCCCCATTTACACCACCCTCTGAAAACCGATCTGAGCTCGAGCTTGGATCAGTAAACAATGCCGAGCTTGGTTCCTTACGACCATTTACAAGTCCCGCTTACACGGTTCCTAGCCTCATAGTGACGATCTATGGTACTACTGCTCTCTAGAAGTAAATAAGCAAATCAACATGGCGGCACCCATAACATTCTAGAAATTTGGCTATGATTTTGATATTTCGTTGTTTGTGGAGAGTCAGGGGCAAAAGGCAGCCTTTGGTGAATTTACTTGACAGAGTCGGCTTTTGGGAAGTGGATACGACAAAATATAGTCTAACCAGGTCTTACAGATGCAGGAAACAATGAGAGACGTTAAGGTTCATCACACTGCTAAGCAGAATCCTCACTGGAAATTGTGTGGCAAGGTAAGGAAGCTAGTGTTTTTATGAATGTCTTAAATCTCATGATTACAGAGGCTGACTGTAAGGAGATGATGCGGCCTGCTCATGTGCTCTTTATTATCTGAGAACCAAGCCAGAACTGAACCGCGCCATGCCCTACTGTTGCGCTAGTATTAGATAAGCACGGTTTTGTTGTGTCTGTCACGGTCCGGTTCAGTTTTGCGTGCCATTTACACTCAACAGTTATCTTGGTTAGCACGCTCAGACCGATCTCGGCATGGTTTGCAAAAGGTAGTGTAGACAGGGCTTATGTAAGCTGCCTGTTCCCAGCCATTGGTGCCAGATTGTTTGAATCGATTGTGAGAGTTGTATAGCCTTCCTGTGAGTTTCTGATTTTCAGATATTGACCAGTTTCTGTCCTTGGACTTCTTAGTTTTGGTTGTCCCTGTTTCTGGACTGTTACCTGGATTCTGCTAGTTAATGACCTTGGACCTGTCATCTCACCCCGGCTTGGAAATCCTTTCAGTGCCTCTTTGAACTTCTGATCTTCTGGCCTGGAAACCTGTTCCTGCTTCGGCCCTGCCATGGATTATCCCTTCAGAGTTTTCTGCTCCTCTACGTGCTCTGGATTCTGCTTGACGTTGTTTCCCTTCTCTCCTGGAACTCTGGTTGCGGCTCAGCTGCAAGTTACAGAGTAACCATTCCTTCAGACTTCACTACTTCTTCTGGGCACAGACTGAACTTTATTAGGTTGGTGACTTCCATGCTCATTATTGTTTCCTGTCTGAGTTCTGAAGTCACTGACTGTCTCTACAGAGTATCCAGTAAATCTGCACGAGCTCACGAGCAGCCGCACCCTAACTTTTTAATAAACACTTGTTTTTAAATCACCCTGAACTGTATGCTTGAATTCTGGGTCCTACGTTCTGAGCTCCAGACACTTAGTGCTAAATCTAATCTTCTAAACCCGCAAAAAAACTCTTTTAACTCCTGTAAGGAAAGGCTATTCATTTTCTGATATTATATCAAAATAGATTTTTTTTGTAGCTGTTTTACTTGTTTGAATCAGTGACCAAATTGATTTCAATTGGCTTTTTTTTTTTTTACATAATTTTATCTTATCTGAAGTAAGTGGGTCATATGCCCTAAGACTCATATTGTTATGAACAATTTATAATGTATTAATTAATTAAAACAATAAAATGCAAGTGTAAACCAACAGTAGATATCAAGATGAAATGTTAGTTATGATGACAATTATCACTTCGTAGGCAAAAGGAGGAAACTTACAAGCTTAAGAACACCATCCCGCTCTGAGGTCCAGTGGTTGCCACATCATGTTGTCTAGGTGTTTTACTTTAGGGGGACTTCAGTTCTTCATCAATGGATGGCACTTTGAGGAAAGACTATTATGCAGATAATGCAACATGTCAAGACATCAGCTACTAAGTGAATGCCTAATCACAGAGCCGAGCTAAAGAATTGCATGCAATACTTTCTACAAACCAGATGCACAAAGACTAGTTTGTCCAGAGGTATGGGCCAAATTGCCAGAAACTATATCTGTCATTTTACTGTTAATTAAGAAAACTACTGGGTTGGTTATTTTGGACTTGGAAATGGCTTTTAATATCATACCCCCCAGAATCCTCTCATCACAGTATCAACAGGGTTATTTATGTCAGTTTAGGTTTCATTTATCCGGAAATGTTTCCATGTGCAAAAAGGT